TTTCCAAGGAGTTGTCTTCACAGAGGGATCCTGTCTCTGAAGCTAATGAGAAAAACACCGTCCCGAGGGTGGGATGTGTCGCCCAGGTGCCACCCAGCTGTTGGGCCGGCAGGTAGACTCTGGGATCAGAGCCAAGAACCTCAAAGGTCCCTTCAGAGGTGCCCGCAGGTGCTCGGTGAGGCTGACTCAAGCCACGCTGCACTGACATTCCTGGAGCACTGCTGGGACATCTTCACTCTCAGTCCCTGGCTCAGATGGTCCTGTCTTCCCCTTGTCCCTGCAGGGAAAGGACCACATGACCAAGGGGCAGAGTGAGATGTTAGAGCCAGGCTACAAGGGTGAAGGAGGGTTCTGCTTGAATCCATCACAGGAAAGAACCTAAGGGCCAATCAGGTCTTAGTAGCATAGAAGGAAGTTTATTGGAGAGTAAAAGCATGCATCTTCAGAGCAGAATGGGCGCCATCTTGAGAGTGAAATGTGCCACCAGAGCTTAAGGTCAAGTTTCCATTCCATTAGGGAAAGTAATTAAGTGAAATATGTATGATCCCAAGGAGCTCAGCTTCTCTCATGGTTGGAAAATATTGATAAAAATCATGTTTTCCCATCAGAGGGGTCTGGCCTGGTATGGAATGTCATCTTACATCAGTCTCTGGCAGTGGGGACAGGTCACAGGGTTATCAGTCAGAGGATCACGGTTGAGTCATATGTGAACCCCTGCACTCACCCTGTGAATGGTCTCTTTCTGTTGAGGCCTATATCCCAGAAACCCATAGGGAACCGTGGATCACACAGATCATCACAGTAATTTATGGGTGTTTAATATGTCTTCACATCCGGGTCCTTTTCTGTCCCTTAGGCCTCTCCTTTGTCCTGTTTACCAATTGTTTATGAGTTGTTGGTTCTATCATTTGACAGAGATTTTTTTGTTTTCTTCAGAGACTTGGAGTTCCCTTCGTATCCCTACATTTCTATCTCAGAGCAATGTTCCTACCAACCTGACGGGGCTGTTGGAAGGATTAGATGAGAGAGTGCATCTCAAGCTCTTGCACCGGCAGGCCTGTGGGACTGTCCACAAGAGTTGGCTGTTATCATTTCCTGCATCTACTACACGGCCATGAAGAACCAAGCAGGCAATCCAGAGCGGGCCAGATGGAGATGGGGTTCTCAGCTGGAGGTGCCTGGGGAGGTGTTGAAAGCTATGAAGCACAGGTGGACCCCAGACCCGTTAAGTCAGAATTTCTAGGGGATGGGGCCAGGCATTGGTATCTTAGTGAAGTGACCCTTTATTATTATAAAATAACTCTTCATCCCAGAGGATGCTCTTTGTTCTGAAATCTCTTATCTGTTAAGATAGTAACACGTGCCTTCTTTTGGTACAGTTAGTATGACATGTCTTTTCCTACATTTAACCTGGTTGTATTGAAACTGGGTTTCTTAGCAGAAGCATATTATGAGTCTTGATTTTTAATCCAATCTGACAATTTCTGCCACTTTAACTGGGGTGTTTAGACCATTTATGTTTAATGTGATAATTGACACAGTTGGGCTTAAATCGACCATGCTGCTCTTTGTTTCCTGTTTGTCATATTTGTTGTTGGCCCACCCCCACCCCTTTTGTGGTGCTGGGGATCAAACCCAGGGCTTCACACATGGCAGGCAAGTGCTCTAGCTCTGAGCTACATGCCCATCTCAGTTATCACTGAGTTACTTTAGCAGTGGTTTGGAGCTTGTAATATACATCTTTAACTCATCGCAGCCGTCCTCAAGTGACATCACACCACTTCACATATAGCATCAAACCAGACAGTGCTAAGCTCCCACTTCCCTCCTGGCCTTTGTGCTATTGTCATAGGATTACTACACTTATTCTGAACCCCTCAGAACATTATTATTATGCTTTAAATAGTTGACCTTATTTTTAATGTGATTTTTTAAATTAAAAGAAAAATAATTTTTATTTTCCCACGTAGTTACCCTTCCCAGTGTTCCTCATTCCTTCCTGTAGCTCCAGACCCCCGTCCGATATCATTTTCTTTCTGCTTCAAGAACTCCGTTGCCATTTCTTACCTACAGGTATGCTAGTGATGAATTCTTTCTGCTTCTGCAAACCTGAAGACATTTTTATTTTGCCTTCCTTTTTTTAAAAGCTGTCTTCTTGTGGATGTGGAATTTGAGGTTGATCTTTGAAAAAATATTTTAAGACGTGACTGACTGCAGGGTCTTCTCACTTGCATTGTTTCTTTGGAGAAATCGGATGCCCGCCTTCTAGTTGTTCCTTTATCTGTGACACAGTTTTGTTTGTTTGTTTTCTGATTGCTTTTAAAGATTTTTTTCTTTATATCTGGTTCTGAATAATTTGATCATAATGGGTCTCATGTCATTTTCTTAATGCTTCTCTAAGGCCAGGAGGGGAGACGTGGGAGTACGATGTTAGAAGATTCTTAAGCGTGACATTGTAAGGTGAAGTGGCACCACGTCATCTGGAGGTGGGAGGAGGACTGTGGTAAGTCAATGTGCTTGGGGTTCATGGAGCTCCTTAGATTTATGGACTAAGAGTTTTCATCAAGAGTAGAAATTTTTGCACCATTATTTATTTGTCCTTAGAAGTCTAACTCCTCCCTCTCTCTCTCCCCATCCCCATCTCTCTCTCTCTCTCTCTCTGAAATAGAGAACATGCTTCAAGTTGTCCTGTAGCTCACAGAATCATCTTTTTCCTCCTGATTTTTATTCCCACTCCCCCCCCCACCTCTGAATTTCCTTTTGGACGGTTTCTATGATTTTATCTTCAAGTTAACATCCCCAGTCTCTGTGAGTTCTTGTACTCTCTTCCATGTCACATCTTAACATCCTGCCTTTCCTCTGGCTTCTTCAGTATATGAAAGACAGCTGTGGCTCCTGTTTTAATGTCTTCATCAGTTCCATCATCTATGTCGTTTCTGGGTCAGTGTCCTATGATTGAATTTTCTCTTTGTTAATGAGTTGAGTTTCCCTGCTTCTCTGCCTGCCTGGCAATTTCTTAGTGGATACCAAATATTGCGAATTTTACTCTGTTGGGTGCTAGATTTTTTTTTTTAATTTCTATATATGTTTTGAGCTTTTTCTGGAACACAAAGTTACTTGAGATCAGTTTAATCTTTGTTTTTAAGCATCATGAGGTAGGACCAGAACAATACTTAGTTTAGAGCTAATTTTTGCCCTGTTAATGAGGCAAAAACACTTGAGTGAATACTCTGCCTATTGCCCTGTAGGTTATAAGGTTTTCTCCTCTGGCTTCTGAGGACAGGGATTATTCTCAGCCCTGTGTGGACTCCTGGATTGCTCCCTCTAATGCTCCCAGATGGCCCCTTCCTGGCCTCAGTGTTTCCACACATGCACGTGTTCCTCCGAACTTGGAAGACTGCAAGTCCCTCTGCTGATCTCCAGAGCTCACGTACGCTCTCGCACATGCACAGTCCATCTCCTTCTCCCTCGTTTCTTCTCCATGATACCTGCCCTGTGACCTCTAGCCACCTTGGCCCCTGTCTTAGTGCATTTGTGCTGCTAAAACAGAATATCTGAGAATGGGCAATTTTTAAAGAATAGAAACTTATTTCTAATATCTGGAGGCAGAAAAGTCCAGGGTCAGGACACTAGCAGCTTCAGCGTCAGAAGAGGGCCCAGTCTCTGTTTCCAAGATGGCGCCATGAAAGCCGAATCCTCTGTGGGGGAGGAATGCTGTGTGGTCACATGGAGGAAGGTGGAAGGGCCAAAGGATGAACTCGCTCCATCAAGCCCTTCTATGGCAGCATCAATCCATGACCTAAACACCTCCCCAAATGCCCTGCTGCTATAGTGGAGGTTGAGGACAGAAATATTCAAACCCAGCAGCCTCCCAGTTGCGTCTCCTGAACTCAGGGAGAGCACTGAGCTCCGGTGGGTTCCCTCTCCTGGGCCCTGGCCTGAGCACTCTCTCCAGGAGTCGGTGGGGCAATGGTTGGGCTTCTGTTCTCACTTTCTGTTCCGTGTCTCTTGGGAATGGCTCTCCTTTGTGGTCTGCTGTCCGACGCCTTGACAACTGCTGTTTTCTATATATATAATTTTCCCAGTTTTTTGCTCCAAGAAAGAGGATCATTCTCTCTTACTCCAGCTCAGCCAGTGGAAGTCAATGAGTGAACCTTGATCTTCTCTTAAAGAACCAATATATTTCTAGAAAATCAGTAACCTAAGTCATCCCGATTTTTCTTTTAATTTTGCAAAAACGCTGGATGAGCCAAACAATATTTGGCCTTTGAGTTGACATTTTGAGATTCATACCTTACCTGTTTTCAGATTTTTTCTCCATTTGCTATTTTAACAGGTTTAAGCCTAAAAATAGTCTAAGAAGAGTTCACTTTTATTGCCCAAAGTTAGGAGTTGGATGAGACAGAAACAGAACCTCTCTGACTTCAAAGCTGGTACCATTTCTTTCGTGAAATCCCCACCCCTTGGATTTCATCTGCACCCTGTTTTCCCCCAGCCCCAACGTGGACTTGGAAACTTCCTTGGCTTTGCATCCTCCATGTTTAGCAGAGGGCATGGCTATGGAGAGATGAGGAGATTTGGGCTGAACAAATCAATGCTTTCCCTTCCTCTGTTTGCCCTCTTACTCTTGCCAGCCTCTCCGAATGCACACCCGTCTATTAAGTGGGAGGTATGTTACCAGCTGCACAGGTGGGATTTAAATCAGGCAGCTGTTACCTGTGAGATGACGCCTCTGCTCCCACAGGGTGAGAAGCATGGAGTAAAGCCAAGGCTGAGTCAGAGGAGAGGGCTTGTTAACCACGCAGACACAGTCGTTGAGGGATTTTTAATTTTTAAAAACTTAAAGCCCTAAGATATTTGAGGGAGGGATGGTCCCCATTTCAGTAGTCATCCAAGAAATCCAAATGAACAAACAAAATATTGACATGATTAAAAAAAAAGAAACAGTCACATGGGACATTAATGAGATTGTAGAGAAAAGATATCTCGTCGGCGGCTGGTAGCATTTTGCATGGGTTTAATTTTTCTGGAAGACCATTTAGCAAAATTTATCAAAAGCCTTAAACACAGTCATGTGATTTTTTTCTCAGCGATTTCACATTTAGCACATTCTGTCCTCAGGAAATATGCAGACAGGTGCGGTGATTTATCCACGGGAATGCTCATCACAGTGCTGTGTAGTCAAAGACTGGGGACCAGACCGATGCATCAACATGAGGGACAATCCAGGAGCCTTTAAAAACAAATACACAGAAGAATAAAGACATGACAAAAATGCTTATGAACGATTGTTAAGAAACCTAGATTTTAAAATTATAGGCATATTTATTGTAATTAATGCTTCCTTTGTGCCTTGCTAATTTAATTAGCTCATGTAGTTCTCAGAATGATCTTAAGAGGTGGGTACTGTCCTTCTAGCTGCAGAATCTACCCTGTGGCCAGGTAGCAGGTGGTAGAGCTGGATTCCAACCACTGATGCTTAGGCCCAGAGTCCAGTGGTTCCCAAAGTGTGGTCCCCGGACCAGTGACTCCACACCACCTGGAACTAGCTAGACATGCCAGTCCCCAGGCATGGTCTCAGGGCTTCTGGTTGAAATCCTGTGGGGGTCAGGCTCAGCAATCTGTGTTTGAGCCAGCCTTCCTGTGGGTGCATGCTCCATGTCGAGAACTAACAGGCAACGTGATTCTACCTTTTCTTGACATTTTGTTGAAAAAAAAAATGTGTATAAAAACGTCTGGCAGATGAGGAGATATTAATGGTGTCATCTCTGGATGGTGAGCAATTTGGGTGATTTTGATTTTCTTTGTGTGTGTGTATGGGTGTGTGTGTGTGTGTGCACGTGCGTGCACACTCAACGACGTGTTTACGCGTGCATGTGTTTGCATGTTTGTGATTTCCAAAAAGCATGCAATGAACTTTTGTGACCAAGATGAAAATCTATATATGTTGAAGAAGAAGAAGGAGGAGGAGAAGGAGAGGTAGAAACAGAAGGAGCTCTGCTTTAAACCCCAGCAAGAGGGTGTGAATTTTCCAGGGAGGGAAGCGCAGGTAGAAATTGCTTTTTCTAAATGCTACAGAAACTCAAGCCCAGCTTGTCAGCCATGTGGATCCCAGGGGGTCTTGTTACAATGCAGACTGTGATTCAGCAGGTCAAGGTGGCTGAGATGCTGCTGCATTTCTCTCCATCTCCCAGGCCATACAGATGACGCCGATCCCAGGGACACTTTATGAAACAGGGACCTGGAAGCTTGATGCTCCCAGCCCTCAGCCAGCAAGCTCCATGAGGACAGAACATTTTCTGGTCCAATGACATATTCCCAGGGCTGAAAACAGAACAAAAATTAGTTATCAAATGTATGGAGATGCCGAGTGCCAGGGAGCCTGCTGGGGACCCAGGAAGCTGGAGTCTGGTCATGGTTTTCCACCTGCTATTGGCATGTCCTCGGGCAAGCTGTGACCTCCCTGTAATGACAACTGTTACTGGACAAGGTGACAGCTTTGGGCTGTCTTTTTTTTTCATGACCCAATATGTAACACATGCTCAACCTGGGCCAGGATTATCCAAGATTTCACTTTTGTTTAAAATATAAAAGTGCCAGGAACTTGGCAGCACTATCAGGTTGTCTTCTGAAAGCCTCAAGGAAAGAAGTTGGAAGAGAAGAAAGATCTAAGTCGAGGTTACCGTAGAAACATTAACTCATCCACAGAGTCGGCGTGCTGCATTTGGATTACAGGTTAGGCTCATAAGCCTGAAATAAATTATATACTCTTCGTATTATTCAGCACCGTACTGTATAATAATAAATTATACAGTTATAGGCCTCAGCCCAAGTTATAACAAATTATACCACAGCGTGTAATTACTCTGCACCGCACCATATAATAATAAATTAGACAGCTACAAACCTAAGTTGTGATTCCTAGAAAAGATAGGGGAAGGAGCAAGGGCTGTTGATCGATTCCTCTGATCAGATCCTGGTCAGATGGGCCAGGGGTCAAAGGAGAGAGGGGATGGCTGATTCTTGCCTTAATTCCTGCTTTCTTTCTGCGTATTTGGATGTCCTGTGGTTTGGGTACAGACTTGTTCATGGGGCCCAGTCCTCAAGGGTTTGCGACTGTGGGGGAGAGTTACATGCAAACTGAAATGGAAACACAGAATGTCACGGAACCAGGCCCTGTTATGCCAGCAGCACGATGTGCCTGTCACTGACACGGATGAATTTTGCAAAAGAGAAAGAGTTGATTCACAGAGCCGCGGCCGAGTGCAAGGACACAGGGGACCTGAGCTCAACTCTTCCTCCCCGGGGATAGGACTGGGGGGTGTTCATGGGCTGAAGCGCAGGGAAAGGTGGTTGGAGATTAGCTGAGAGGAGGTGAATTGGGCCAGGGACAGTGGGTTTATCTGGATTTTTCCTTGGTTTTAAGAACAGCCATGAGGAGAATCAGAAATGGCAGTAGGCAGAGGGTCCAAGTCTCCAGGCCCGTGTACCGGTGCAGGTGCTCCCTGCTTGGACTCCGCCAGGTGGTATCATCCTCCCCATTTGGCAGATGAAGTGAGCAAGGCTGACCTGACTTGTTCAAGGTCACACATTAGAAATGGCAGGATGGGAATTTGAAGGGCTTAACAACCCTTAGGAGCCAGAGGGCTGCACACAGACGTCTCCTGGAGAGTCCGGCACAGAGAGCGTTTTTTGTGGAATTGGAGCAGATCATCTTCCTTCATGAAGCCCCCAAGCCCGGGTGACAGCAGCCGCAGTGCAACCCCGCAGTGTGCTTAGGCTCTGCTGGGAGCTTAGCCAGGCGTCCAACTCACACCACCTCTCAGCAACCTCAAGAGGTTGGGACTTTTCTCATGCCCATTCTACAGATGCCCAGCTGAGGCCCAGGGAAGGCAGCTAGTAAGCAGCAGAGCCAGAAGCCGACCTTAGGCAAGTCTGCTGGCCACGTCCCTCGTGCTGTTTTTGGTGGGTGCAGGGTGGGTGCTGGGGATGGAACGCAGGGCCTCTGTATGCTGGGCAAGCGCTTTACCACCAAGCCTCAGCCCAGCCCTCTCGTCCCTCATTCTGGACCACTATCATGGGGACAAGTGCTCCCGGCCACTCAGACGCCCTTAACGTATGCCATGTATGCAGTACTCATGCACTTGTCCCCACACACTATATTGCTAGTTTAAAAAAAATAAAGAAATACAAACAAAAACAAACAAACAAACAAAAAAAACAACCCCCGTACTCCAGAACACTCTTTTAAAAAAATTGTTTAATACCAGGGATTGAACCCAGGGGTGCTTAACCACTGAGACACATCCCCAGCCCTATCTATTTAAAATATTTTTTTAGTGGTAGTTAGACACAATACCTTTATTTTTTTTTATTCTCTGTGGTGCTGAGGATCAAACCCAGTGCCTTCCACGTGCAAGGCGAGCGCTCTACCGCTGAGCCACGGCCCCAGCCCTATTTATTTATTTATTTATTTTGAGACAAGGTCTTGCTAAGTTGCTCAGGGCCTCACTAGGTTGCTGAGGCTGGCTTTGAACTCGTGATCCTCCCACCTCAACCTCCCGAGCCAATGGTATTATAGATGCGCGCCACTGCACGGTCAAAACACTCATCTCTAAGTCCAACCTATCCTCAGGGGATAGGATGAGAGTCTGTGGAGACTGAGGCCAGAGGGTTCTTCTGCCTCTGTCTCTCACAGCTCCTCGGGGTGGGTCCGTTAGCCCATGTGCTCCTTATTTAATTAAGAAATTAGGCATTGGAGTGTGAGGGATGAATAGAAATTTACACAGGACACAGGCAAGAGGAGCCAAGGTGTGCTGTGTGGCTGTGCATGAGAAGAGGTTGTCTTTAGGGACAATCAAGTCCCCGGGTGGAGGTGTGAGCTGGGCAGAAGGTGAGGTGGCCTTTAAGTGCCTCTTGCAGGAAGCTGGGCGCTCTCCTGAAGGCAGTGGTCATCAGTGGGTGGATTAGTGGCCCCTGGAGGACTTCCCAGCTCTGCATTTCCTCCTCAGGGAGACATTGCGGTCTTGCAGTAGCACCTCAGCCTGTCCTGCTCCGGCCTCCACGGCTCAGCCTGTTGCTCATGTACAGTCTTGAATACTCTTCCTGTCACGTCTGGCTAAGGAGACCGGCTCAGTCTGGTAGGTCTCTCTGGGGGATGGAGACAGGGTGGTTACCAGTAAAATCCAGGATCCCATGCCCACTTAGTTTTGAATTTCAGACAAACAACAAATAATTTTAGCATATGTCATAAATATTGCGTGAGATACACTAAGAAGTATTCATTAATTTTGTGAAATTGAAATTTAATTGAATCTGTCAAATTTAGGTGAAGGGGAGCAAACCAATAATAAGTGATAAATAAATAAATAAAATCAGCCCCCTGTGCAGCAGTCAGGGTGCCACCAGAGAAGCAGAGCCTTTGTGAGTGATCCAGGGTAAGGGGGCTGGGGGCGTGGCTCAGGGGTAGCATACCGAGCCCGAGGCCCAGTGTTCAATCCCCAGGGCTGCAGATAACAAAAAGCAAAACAAACAAACAACAACAACAAAAACCCACCACCCACAGAAGATGGAGTTGTGCCCAGAACAAGGGATTCACCTTGAGGCTGTGACCTTGTGCCCTGTGGGAACTGGCTGGGGCCACCTCTGCCTCCAGGGTGGACCTGGAAGGTCTGAGGAGCTGGACCAGCAGCCAGTTGGAAAAGAGAGGAAGGACAGAGGGGAATGCATCTGTCTGTCAGTACCTCCAGTGTGCCCCCACAGCGACCTACATGAGACCTGCCACCTGCCCATAGGAGCTGCATGTCCTCCTGGCCCAGGGGAAGGAGGAGGGCTGGCCGTGGCTGCAGGAGCTGAGGGGGAGCGAGCGCTGACCTCTGCCACGCCATGAACAGCAGAGCAGCCACGTGGGGAACCAGCGGCCACTCCAGCCCCGATGCCCATCATCACGGTGGCCTCTTCGCTGCAGCCTTGGAAACCTTGAGCAAATCCACAGCACGTGAATCAGGTATGGTGACACACACCTGTGATCCCAGAGACTTGGGAAGCTGATGCAGGAGGGCACAAGTTCGAAGCCAGCTCAGCAAAAGTAAGGCACTAAGCAACTCAGTGAGACCCTGTCTCTAAAAAAATACAAAATAGGGCTGGGGGTGTGGCTCAGTGGCCGAGTGCCCCTCAATTCAATCCCTGGTACATCCCCACCTGCCCCCAAATTTGGCACATGACCACTATTAACCCAGAACCATACGGGGAGGGAATTCTGTGAAACCGAACTCAGGCTTTTCTAGGCTGACCAGGGGCCAAGGAAGGGTCCTGGGATGGGGGATTGCTCCCTGATTGTGCCCTTGACCAGCCCAGTGTCTTCAAGTAAATTCCAGGTAGCATACATTCACAGTGCCTCGGTTTCCTCACCTGTAAAATGCATACAAAACCCCCCATACCTCCTGTATAGAGTTACCAAGATAATAAAAAGAGACCAGTAGCCCACCAGCCTGGCCGTTGACACTGTCAATGCAGTTAATTAATAATAATTTCTATTTGTGTCAAATCTGAATTTGCTATTCATCCGTCTCACTAGGGGGGAAAAGTCATTTGTCTTAAAAGATAAGACACAGTAGTTTTCCCTTGTCCATAATTTTGCTTGGCATGTTTTCACAGATATGAATGAATGGTACAACAACAGAATAGATGCGGCTCAGGGTTCTCGGTGGTTTGGGACATCCATTGAGGGTCTCCGAGTACGTACCTTGTGGGTAAGAAGGGGGTGCGATATGAATAAGCAGCGTGTTACAAAATCTTCTCTCAATTAAGTAGCTCACCAGCTCCATTTGGAAAGATAACACACGCCATCTCCAACGTTGGCTTCCCCCCATGCCAAGGTTAGCATGAGATACTGCAGGCCTGCCAGTCATGAAGCTCTGAAATCTTAAGTTCCCCCCAAAATGAACCAAATGCACAAGCTCTAAGTAGGGAGAAATACTAAAATGTGGCTTCAAGCTTTGCAGATGCAGTGGCTGCTGATTAAAAGAAAATCCTTTCTTTTAAAAGGTCGTGTATGAAAAGGAAACCCTGGCAGCAGAGCTGGGCGGAATGGAAGCCAAAAGCTCTCCACTGGCAGGTGGTGGCCACAACCAGGGACACTGACCAGCTTGGCAATGGGAAGGCCCACTGGGTCCCCGAGGGTGGAGGGCTCAGAGGGCGGCTCTCTAGGTTGTTGGCCCACACGAGGGGTGGGAAGAAGGGCTTTGCAACTGGTCCTCCGGCAGTTTTGCAGTTCCACCTCGGGCCCGGTTTCCCTGCCATCTCAGTGGGGGGACTTGTTTTCAGGACTGAACAGAAAGAAAAGCAAATTCTTTGTTGTTGGAAGAATAGGAGTAAATTGGCCCACTTCAGGGTGTTGGAGGCCTTTCTCTGACTCCCAGGGAAAAGGAGGCCCCTGGGCAGGTTTTGCAGCCACTCCGCTTGCTTCTGAGGGTTTCTTCTTAAGGTTTCTAATTCCAGATGGCGACAAGAAATCCAAATGCGTTTGAGGCTCAGGAGTTTGTGCCAGGGGTGGAGGGGATGGGCAGAGAGCGGTCCCAGGAGCGGAGCAGGTGGAGAAAGTCCAAGAGAGGGAACTGGAGCCCCTGAGCGTTGGACAGGAGTGGGATGAGGGCATGTGACAGTCTGGAAACGACCAAAAGTGTTCACATATTGATTGACCTGACCATTTCACTTCTGGGAATTTCTAGGCAGTGATGTTTCTGTCAAAATTATTTGCAAGGAGGGAAAAAATAGAAGCAACCCAAATGTATATCAATAGGGAATTTGTTAATTAAATGATCATGGTGACATCTGTCATCGGTGACTCATCTCTCCTTTCCCTTCAGCCCTTCTTCCCCATCGGCTGGTCCTGTGGGCTCCCTGGGAGAGGCACATTCTAGCTGGAGGCTGCCTCCCCGAGTCCCTGCCTCATTGCCCCTTGCAGGTGTCTCTGTGACTCTATGGCCTGAAGGTGTCCTTCCAGTGCATTTCCACATGTGGCCAACGTCCCTTGCCCCAGGGGCATTTCAATTCTCTCAGTCCAAAACCCACGCTCCTCACCAGCCCCACAGGCCTGCCTTACTCGTGTCAATTAAGAAATGCTCACTCTCTAGCCAGGTGCAGTGGCACACACCTGGAATCCCAGCGGCTCGGGAGGCTGAGGCAGGAGGGTCCCAAGTTCAAAGCCAGCCTCGGCAATTTAGCAAGGCCCTAAGCAACTCAGTGAGACCCTGTCTCTAAAAAAAAATACAAAATAGGGCTGGGGATGTGGCTCAGTGGTTGAGTGCCCCCCCCAAAAAAAACCCCACAAAAACAAAAATAAAAACAAATGCTCACTTTCTTTCTCCTGGAGCTCATTCTGGCCTCTGGCCTCTGTCTGGCCTCTGGCCTGGCTCTTCACTTGGCCTGGAATATTCTACCGGCTTCTTCCTGCCTTCCCTGCTGTGCCCTTCTCTTCCTCCAGGGGGCAGTACAAACACCATCCATCCATCTAAACTACTCCCCGCACCCCAACAGCATCTCCCCATCACTTTGTCCATTTTATTTTCTTCATGGCACTCAGCAGAAGGTGACACGGTCTCAATTATTCATTTGTCCTCTTATTAATTATCTCTCCCACTAGAACCGAGGGCAAAGACTAAATGGGGGTGGGGGGTGCAGGGGCCCTTGCATGATACCCAGAAGATGCCTGCTCTGTGTTTGGGGAATGAGAAAACAAACACCAGGATTCCCTGAAGCTGTTTAAAAGTCTTACTTGAAAGGTGCCCCAAAGAAGTATGGTAGATATGAACCCACTTACAAAAAAGCATAAAATAACCAAAGTCCACACAATTTGCATTGCCACCATTTTTTGAGCACTCACAGCCACCTGGGCCAGCTCTCTCCACTCTTAACATATTCACTTGTCTCCCTGGATTGTCACAGTGACTTTCTGGGGTCAGTTTGATTTGGGGCACCGTTCACCGAGGAGGAAACTGGCACAGAAACTTGCCCAAGTTCATAATAGAGCTGGGACGCGCAGGAAGTCAGAGGGTCTGATTTCCAGATATTGAGTCACTGGGGTACAGAGGTGGTTTCTGGCTGTGAACAGGCCAGTTCTGCTCCCAGAACTCTGTGTGATCTTGGGCAAGCCACTCTCCTTCTCTGGGAACCATGGACGATGGCCCAGAGCTATGGAGAGGAATGAACTACATAATGTGCTCCCAGTGCCCATCAGAGACCCGCAGCGAAGCAGCGCCCAGTGACTACAAGCCAGGGACGTCAACATTTGGAGAAGGCGGCCTGGAAGCCACGTCCCAGTTCCTCGAGTCCGGGCCACATGGGGCTCCACAGGGCCCGATGGCTTGGTTCAGTCGTTTGGCTCCCAGCTGTCACCCAGGCTTAGAATGTGACTCTCTTGGCACCCTCAACAGGGGAATGCATGGGGGGGGGCACTTGTGAAATAGCGGAGTTCCAGGCTCCAGATGCCTAGAGCAGGACAGAGGACTTCAAAGGGCCTTTGCCACCGTTCCTGAAAGATGACACCACGCAACTTGCCCTGCATCAGCAGTGCACACAGCTTGGAAGGGAAGGAGCAGGTGGCTCAGGAATTTGTTGCATGCTGGGGCAGCAGCTCTGGGTGAGAAAATGTGACTGAGGGTGTGCGTGTGGACTGTCTGGATCTTGTCGCTGACTTCCCATTTTCTTTCATTCTATTTTTTTTTTTTTGAGATGGGGTCTCACTGTGCTGCCCAGGCCAGCCTGGGATTCCTGGGGTTCACACCATCCTCCTGCCTCTGCCCTTGGCCTCCTGAGTACTGAGACTACAGACACACGTCACCACACCCAGGTCATGTTTATTTTTCTGATTATCTGGGGATCCCCTTTCTTCCCGACGGGGCTTGTTAGTCTGTTCTCCGCGTGTCTACCCACGGAGAGGCTGAATAAATGTTTCTCTACCCAATGCTGGAGCTGCCCTTCTGCAGGAGAGGCCCCGATCCAACCCTGCCGCTGGCGCTCACGGGCTGGGAAGTCCCGGACTTCACTTTTAAGGCGTAGCCTCAGCCTGCATAGTCCTGAGCCCAGGCTTGCCTTCTGCGAGGGGTCTCCTGGGCACCTATCTGAACGTTGCCTGGCCTCAGTTTCCTCCTCTGGGGATCAGGATGCTCCTAAAGCTTGTGTCACAGATGGACACAAGGGATCAACCGTTCAACTCGTGGGAAGTGCAGACAAGAAGAGTTGGTGTGTGGTGAGGTCTAGATAAATATTAACTCACCAGTGTGCTATTATTTTTTGGGGGGGAGGGTACAGGAAATTGAACCCAGGGGCACTTAACCACTGAACCACATCCCAAGCTCTTTTTATGTTTTTTTTTTTTTTTAAATTTAGAGATAGAGTCTCACTGAGTTGCTTAGGGCCTCAAAGAGTTGTTGAGGCTGGGTTTGAACTTGCGATCCTCCAAGCCACTGGGATTAAAATGCATTCATCTTTAAGGATACAGTTTGATGAGCTCTCATAGATGATACCTCCTTCTAGACACCACCTCAATCAAGGTAAAGAACAACTTCCATTGCTCCACAAGTTTCTCTGACTCTTCTGGTCAATTCCCTCCCTCTCCCCTGACACCTTGACAGGTGAGTTTTGCAGGTTCTAGAACTTGACATGAACCAAACCATAGCTTGCATTCCTTAGCTCCGACTCCATTTTTGAGATGGAGTTTTTGAGATGCCCCCAGCCTGTTGCCTGTAGCTGCCGTTCCTTCCTTTTTATTGCTCTAAGTCATGTTATTACCGATTATTTTCTGTCTCAGTTTCTTCATCTGTAAAATGAGGTTAATAACTTCCACCTCGTAGGACGTGGGGGAAAGTGCAGAGAGGACCGTGAGTCACATGGGCGGCTGACACCAACACATATTTCACACCCAGGACACTTGCTCCTTCCCTCCCCTCCCCACCTCCCCAGGAAGAGGCCCCTGGGAGCCTGGAGCCCGAAGGTCAAGGGCATGTGGAGTTGATGGGGGGAGAAGCTTCCCAACAGAGACACACAGCCGCGAAAGGATGGCCCTGTTTATAAAGCAGATTGTTATTTTTTAATTCTTTGCCATGTGTCCTTTCCCCTACTTCCCTCTTTTAAGAATAATTAAAATGCAAGCTGGCACTCCCTGGGAGGAGACAGCTGAAGATTTAATTGCCCCGAGAAAAAATCTCCAGCAAAAGGTCCTGCGGTAATGGCAGCTCCCGGCCTGGCTGCTCAAGCGCCTCTGCGTCCCGCACATAATATCAGCGCTAATGCGTTAATCTGCATGTGCACGGGGTGCACTTACTGGCACCCAGGGAGTGGTGGCAGAACCCGGCCGACAGCCCCAGTCAGGCCTCAGCCTCCCCGCCATTAAACTCTCACCCAGCCTCATTCTGGAGACAGGTCCTTGGCCGGATCCACCCGACCTGCTGCGGCACCAGCTGACCCCTCCCAGAGTGGCCCGCGGGGGCAGGAGCCGGGCGGGTGGGAGCGGCACCTTCCACCACCAGGGCCTGGCTTGTTGTCCTTGAAGTGGGGCCAGGAGGACGCATCTGCTGAGTGGCCAATCGCTGGTGGCTCTCAAAGTTGGGCCACTCACTGCAGAGCTTGGGTTGTGCAATTTTAGGACAGAGAAATCTCTCTGCCATCTTTCATCCTGTTTTCTAAGTATAGCCCCAGCTTCCCTAGAAGAGGCACCAAAGGCTCAGACAGGGGGTCACGGGCTCCTTGCCTGCTGGGGAGCTTGCGTGCCGTTTTTAAAAAGTGAACGCTCTTAACCCGGGATCACGATGAAAGGCAGACGAACTCCGAGGGAGCAGTCAGGTGGCTGGGGTTTGAATCCAGCTCCAAGCTGCCAGCCAGAGCGCTCCTTTCCCCTGAGATCCAAGCAGCATCCAAACTCCAGGTCCTTTCTTCCCTCTCACTTTCCTCCCTCCACCCCATCCCTCCTCCCATCCTCCTATCCAACCTCCCATTTGTCTGTCCATCCATCCATTCATCCATCCTCCTATCCAGCCTCCCATCTGTCCATCCAACCTTCAATCCAGCTTCTCATTTTTCCGTCTGCCCGCCCATCCATCCATCCATCCATCCATCCATCCATCCATCTCATCCCATCCTCCTGTCTACCCATCCTTCCATGTATCTATCAATATACCTCCTCCATTCATCCTCCATCCTCCCTTCCTCCATCCATTCCTCCTCTCCACCCAACAAATACTGTTGGATGCTTCCTGTAGGCTGGGCAGGGAAATCCAGCATCCTCCTTACCCGGAGGCAGCTCCCAGGTCAGTAGAGCAGAGGGATGTTAATCAAGCACTGTGAGGCCAAGTGTAATTACAAATGATGACAAGTGTTCCCAGGGAGAAGTGCTGGCCACAGTTGCTATGGCAGTTTGGAGGGTAGGCAGGAAAGACCCAGTGAGTGTTGTAGGCAGAGGGAACATATGCAAAGGCCCTGTGGCTCACTTTAGAAACAGACTGCTGGCTGGTGTTGCCAGTGCTGGGGGCGTTGGAGAGAGCCATGGAAGGCGGAGCTGCAGAGTGTGGCAGGGGCCAGCTCACACAGGGAAGGCTGGTCTCTGCCTGGCACTGGCTCCTGGCACTGTCTGGCTCATCTTTACTCACACTTTAGGTCTCAGCTCAGGAATTTCCTCTTTGGGGAGACTTCCTGCCCCATGCAGGCTGAACGAGGCCTACGCACTTTCCCCTAATAAGAACCCGGCCCAAACTTGGAAAGAAGGCAAAGAAAGGTGACGTTCGTTCCCTTTCACTGCCACGCTGGGGCATGTTTCAAAGACCCACTAGAGGATTGGTTAATTCTGTCAGGAATATATAACTTGAGTTTGTCTTAGCTGTTCAATTAGGGCCCAGATCTTATAAAACCACCCTTGGTGCTAATTTGGAGGTTTTGTCTGGTGGAGGTGTGAGCGACTTCCATCTGGCTGAAAAGATAATTCCAAAGGTATGGTTTTGTCGCCTTGCGGAACATTAATCAGCTTTCTGTCTAAGCTGAACATTTTATTCTCACCTTGGTCTCTCAAAAGCCCTGGCTCTCCTCCGGTTCTTGGAAGGAGTGCCGCCCTCCCGCTGGCTCACTGCTAATGTGGTCGCTCTGGGCGCTGGACAGTGCTCGTCCCCGCAGCCTCATTTCTGCATTGAGATTGCTGCTGCTCCGGCTTCCTCGTTCCCCATGAGCTCATCTGTGTGGGGCCCATCTTCTGTCAACATCATAACCACAGAATTTTGCGCAGGGCCAGGTTCCCAGGAGGAGCTTGGGGCATAATTATTAGCTACCCGTGTGATCTCGAGCTTAGCTCTTCCCCTCTCCCAGCCTCAGTTTTCTTATCTGCAAAATGGACACCATAGTACTCATTTGCCAGGGGTGTTGAGGCTCTGTGGGACAATGCAAGTGACCAGCATGCCATCTGTGTGGGCTAGGCTGTACCCTCCCTCACCCTGAGGCCTGGCTCCCTGAGGTCCTGGGGCTGGGGAGCTCATGTCTGGTTGGAAGGACATCAGGTCACAGCAGAGTGACTCTCTGTGGGGCCAGGACAATCAGTCAAAGGAGGTTCCAGCAGGTAATTGTTGGGACAGGAAGACCAGCCTGGCCAGAGGGTCCAGTTGTAGTTGGGGACAGGGTCAAGGAGCAGGAAATGTCCTTTAGAAAGTCAGACAGGGATTTAGAGAAGAGGTCACTGAAATTAGGCTCCAGTGTGAGTCCCCAAAGTTGGTACATGGGAGCCATTTCAGGCTAAGGAGGGAAACAGGGACCTGATAAGTAATTTTAGCCAGGAGGGGAGAGGAGCCAATGTGGGGTTCCTGTGATAACCTGGCCTTGGTGCATGGGTAAGGGATGTGAGTGTGTGTGTGTGTGTGTGTGTGTAGGTGGGTGTGTGGGTGTGTGTGTGTGTGTGGGATATGGGTGTGGTGTTGGGCACTGCAGGTGCCACACTACTGTGGAAGCTGTGGCGCCTATTTTCTCATTTAACCCTCCCTAGACCCCTGAGAGGAGGTGCAGGCTGCCACTCTCCCCATTTCCCAGGTGAGCAAACTGAGGCTCAGAGGTGAAGTCATTTGCCCAAGGTCACAGGGCCAGGATCTGCCTGCACGTCACAGGCTGGAGGTGGGGGGATGGGGAGCGAGGCTGCGTGGGAGGGAGAGTAATCGGAGGAGCCTCAGCAGAAGAAGGGATGACAGATAAACGGTCTGTCCTCGCTGTCCTTGATCTTCCTGCCCACTGTGTTTCTTTCCCTGGTTCGTGTGCTATTTTGGTCTCTGGGATGCTATCTCTCAAATTAACTTGACAGTGCTCCTTGGGCTCCTCACCTGGACCAGGACCCTGGCCTGGGTTTAGGGACCAAAGGTAAGATGTCGTCGCTGCTTTGAAGAAATTGTCAGAATGGGGCAGGCATCAAAGGTTGGGGGCGGGGTGGGTCACCAGTCTTGGCGAAAATTTGAAGTCTGGCTTCTGTACGGGGGATGCACGCTGAGTGCAGCTTGGGGGATTTTTTTCCCATGTAAATGCCCCAGGAGCCCCCACCCTGGAGTTACAGAACGGCCTATCCCCGGCCCCTCCCCATCTTCCCTCCAAGGGTAGCCAATCTGACCTCCGTCACCAAACTTTTGCACACTTGGGACACGTGTCCCTCTAAAAAGCATTTTCCATGTCATGAACTTGAGTTCAGAAAACAAACCAAGACCCAGGTCCTGAGCTCTATGTTGGAAGGGGACACTGGAGACCCCACAAGTGGAAGACAGAGCCCCCCAGAGACTCTGGTTCGCCCTGACCGGCTGGTGACCAGGCTGACCCTCCGAAGCTTCAGTGAGGAGACCATGTGGGCTTCCTGGCTTTCCACAGGGTCTGGTGCACCCTGAACATTTCCTGCGAACCCCTGGGGTCTCCAGCCATCCCTGGTCCCCATCAAGCCCGCTCAGTGCTTGGCGGGGCCACATCCCCAGCGTCACTTCTCAGCTTGGAGCAGGATGTTGAATCTGACTGTTTCAATTTCTTTATTAAATGGGGTAATCATCGTATCTAGCTTAGAGGTTAAGAGGATGGAGGGAATTGGTATTAAATAAGTTAATATTTGTACAGAGTTTAGGAGAGTGTCTGATGTGAGGTATGTGCTCACGTAAAAGTTAAATAAAATAAATAAGCCTCAGTGATTCTTGGCTTTGAGACTGGGCTCCGAGAGACAGGGGCTTTCTCGGGGAGCACTCTTCAGGGTTGGGGGTGGAGGTTTTCCTGATCCCCCGTGGGCAAGGGCTGGTTCTTATGGAGGGAGGGGGCAGCGTGCTCCTCTGCACGAGGAAGAACCCCAAGGGAGGTGCCCGATAAATGCCAAATGCTTGACTGATTTCCTAGCAGGCAGGAAAAAGGCCACTTGGCGCCCATCAACTTTTGTTTTACCTGCCGACCTGCAGCCCTGGAGATTTGGGCTGTGGAGAAGAGAGGCCCAGGCGCAGCATAAAACACCTCCCCCAAGTCTCCTTGCCCGGACACGCCATCCATCACTGCTGCTTCCCAGGAAGGAGGCCCTTCTCCGCCCCTTCTCCTGGGTTGCACCTGGTCCCTGCAAGTGGCTTGCAGATTTCATGGACTGGGCCCCAAGGGCCGGGTGGAGCTGAACTCCCGCAGAGGGCCAGGAACCTGCCAAGTTCTGTTGCCTGAGACGCAGGCGACCTCTGAGTCCTGCAGGAGGCTCCGGGGGTCCCTGAGCACATGGACCAGGCCAAGGGCGTGGGGAAGATGCCCATGGGCTTGTGGATTCCAGTTAAGACCCAACCTGACTGGGTGTGCACTCCCGGAAACTCAATGCTCTTTTCTGCAAAATGGGCACAACCACAGCCCCTGGGCTGATGAGCACTGAAGGTGCATGTTGGGAGGAGTCAGCCTCTGCCTTCCAACCCTGGCCACGGGACAGCGGGAGGTGACCTGGCTTCTATTTCCTCCTTTGTAAAGCATAGAGAAGGAGTTCCCACCTCCCTCAGGGGGTTGGGAGATGAAACGAAGAGTAACTCAAGCATTTGGCACATAATTCGCCAAGTCCCCATCAGCTCTTACGGTTGATTTTGTGGGCGGTGCTTAACATGTGATGTATTGACTATCTACGTGGTGGGTAGGCATCAGGCCCTGAAGTCAGACTGCTGGAACTGAGGCTCAGTGATGTCACCCATTAGCTTTGTGACCTTGAATAAATGACATCACCTCTCTGTGCCTTGTTTATCGAATGAGGGCCATAACAGCACTGACCTGATAGAGCTACCAGATCTAAGAGGTACCCATGCCGTGCTAGCATATAGTGAGCACTAAGGAGTAGTAATACCGTATTAATGCATTAGCCTTGCTGCATAACTATCATTACTAGTCTCACTATCTAAGGGAGGGAGGGAATTACCATTTCTTGAGCACCTACTACACACTGGCACTTGCCAGGCGGAGAGTGAAGACCCAGGGAGGTGAGC